TCTTTATCCTGCGCTGCCCGCCTCTGCACTTCCTCTTTCAGCTCCACCTACTGCCCCTCCTCTATATGAGGAGAACCTGCCTTCGGCGCCATTTTGTAAAGAGAAATTTCCCCCCGAATACGGCCACGCAGGAGACTTCTCTACTACTCTGGTAGAAGGGTGCTTCGCCTCTCTATCATTAAGTCAGAAAAGAAGTCCATTAGAACGGTGCTTACAGAATGTCTTGCTACGGTAGAGCATGAGCCTGGAACTAAGTTCGTGAAACTGCTCTCCTGTTGTTCCTCCCTCGGGTTTGGGACCTGCTGGCAGGATTCTGACGTCGCGGCTCGCGACAAGAGCCCCCTGAATCTGGTCCAGAAAAAGACGCTAGAGAATGTCCTCTTTCACTTGAGCCCCCCGAGCCTCCAGATTCCGGAGGACCTCCTGCAGTGCTATATCCCAGTTTTGAGGCTTTTCAACAAAAACTTGAGCATCCACTGCCTTCTGCGCCGCCCCCCACTCAGAGAGAGGCCAACCTGGCTCAGCTGCGCACTATTAATTAGGAGCTCAGTGAGGAACTTCTGCTGAGGCAACAGATTTCATGCCTCTCGAGCAGACTTGCGTCTCTTCATGCCTCAGAGGCCAGGCCTACCAATGAGCCCAATGGTAAAGACCCCACAACATCTGATGGGTCTCAAGGCATAGTATCTCCTTTACAAGAGGCTCTCAAATGCGCCACAGCACAAGGGGAGGAAGTCTTTAGACTATTTCCCATCGTTCAAGTACAGGGACCCCAAGGGCCAATTAGAGAACATCGCCCTCTTGAGTTTAAATTGGTGAAAGAATTAAAGACTGCTGTAAATCAGTATGGCACTGCAGCTCCCTTCACTTGTGCTATCCTGGACTCCATTACTGGATCCTGGCTGACACCAAGTGATTGGATTGCGGTCTGCCGTGCAGTTCTTTGGGGAAGGGGTTTTGCTTGTGTTTTTCCACAGGATGCTGATCAACCGCGGTGGATCCCGGAGCATTTTATCAAACAGATTAACACAAGCCATGAAAAGGACCAGAGACAATCCTCCGGTGTTATTTTGTGAGACGTTGTTAAAATATCAATAGAGGCTCGTGTTGTGTACACTCTTTCAGAATTCTCTACATAATGGATGAGAAAAAAAAAAACAACGTATGGGTAAAAACAGAAACCTCCTTCATAAATTGTACTGACCTTTGGTGTATGGGCACTGCTATATATTATATTCCCATACAGACAAAGATCTTATGTGCTTTTCATACTTTGCCTATCATAGTAAATGATTATTTTTTTACATCCACAAATAGAAGGTTAATAGTAAATGAGACAGAAAAATATTAGGAAAGCTATAAGTAAGAGTTATACTTTTGCATCTTGTTAAAAACAGGTAAAGAAAAATATACAAGACCAGAAGGCCTAAGTATATAGAGAAGGTGTGTGGAAATCATATAAAAGGTTTACATTTACAGTCAAGAAGAGCTTTCATTCCTTTAACCCTAATTCTACAAGAGATCTCTGTTAATTTTGACCTGCAAAAATTTTGACTAGTCATAACAAAAAGATTTTATAATTCAATTGGCCAAAACCATCTTAGTGCACTCGTTAAAATTGTCTTATATGTTTGTCTGTCTTAAATGTTCAAAGATGTTTGTATGTTCTTGATCAGAATGACATCAAATGCAAGTGGATTGTTGATTTCTACAACCTGGCTTTATAGGATCAAATAAAAAATTTAAAAGATAATTAAATATAACCTTTAAGTTTGGATATGCTCCTGTTGGTAAATAAAGAAGCAGCTGCTCAGAAAATTTATTCTGATCTTTGTTCACTAATGGGAGCCACCAAAATAATTTTCATAGCCTTATAAAAAGATATGCCTTGTTAAATATGTTGTTAAAAATGTTTAATTGGTTATCATCAAAGGTCTGAATTATAAAAATGTTATTGTAACATTTTTCTGATGGTTATCTTCAAAATATAATCTGTAAAAAAAAAGGAAGATCCTGTTGATACAAAGCTACATTACAGGACATAAGAATTCATTATTATTGCTACTTTTCTGGTATACAAAATGTATTTATATTGTTTGACCTTGCTGGTTTTCCAGCATATTGTTTATGATAATAACCTTTTGGTCCAGGTATTCTCCTTTCTCTTCTGCTACACCTACTTATGGTTACAGGTACATTTATAGACCCACCACTATCCCTGAACAGCTTGAAGCTGGGTTTCCACTGAGGAAGACCGGATTGGGACCCCAACACTGAAGCAGCAGAGAAAACTCCAAGATGTGTCTTGGTGCACAAGCGGAAACTTTATTATCCAGAACAAGGATTTAATGGGACTGGTGATTTAATAAGACATCTCAAAGTTTTTAGACTGGTCACTCGAATATTCCGTGGCTTTAAGCTTGTCTGTAGGACTTTGGTAAACAGATTCACGTTTTCCTCAAACCAAACCGCTAAACAGTATTTTTCTGTAATATTTACTCCTGTATTGGCAATCATTGTAATTTTGATAATTCTTTGTATTTGTAGTTGTTATATGTATCGCAAGATGACAATGTATCAATCTTTTGTGTTTCGTCATGGATGACTTGCTATGGCTGTACAAGCTTCAGCAGAGGATGATGCATCTTGGGTGACCATCTGTTTGGCATAAGCCCGCCATAGCTGTACAAGCTTCAGTAGAGGATGATGCATCTTGGGTGACCATCTATTTGGCATAAGCCCGCCGTACATAATTCCCTCTCTGTGGAGCATCCAGAGACGGGTAAGGTCGGGGCCTCCTTTCTACCAACCTAAGACAGGCAAGAGGGACATAAGCCCTCTTCGCTGATGATGGGTAAGGAGAAAGGACATCCCTGCCACCTAAGACAGGAGCTCTTTGACATATGTCTGGCACCCTCTGCAGAGGCTCGCTGACATAAGAGAAACGGGGGAATTATGGAGAGCACAGCCATATTGACCTGTGATTCACCCGAGCAGTGTGGCCATGCCATCACCCATAGCAACGGGCTAGTTCAGCTGGTGGTCTGATCTATTGCCTAGCAGATGTAACCCATAATAGTTATTGTTTCCTTCTGGAATGTGTGGGCGGTACTCTCGCTCGCGTGCAGCTGGAGAGTATAAAAGGAAAAGGTTCTGTAATAAAGCAAGCAAGGAACATGAGAAGAAAAGTACTTCCCCTCTCTGTCCTCGTCCTTTCAGGTTTAGGACCTGCTGGCAGGATCCTGACGTAAGTATTTGAAACTCCTAGGTCTTCCTAGCAGCCACATCTACATAGTAAAGGCACCTTTATGGATTTCTTATGCATGCATATGAAGGAAGAGAAAGGCTGACCAAAATAGTCCCATGTTCTAGTTAGCATGTATAAGCACAAATGCAAATTACTGATTGCTATTTCCCCTAGTGTTAGACAAAACAGTTGTTAAAGTTGTCTTAGTCTGACTTTTTGGAAGGAGGAGTGGTCTGACTACAAGGGAGTCTCAGATGAACTCCCAACAAGTTGGAGAAAAGTTAAAAGGGAGTTTTAACTCACTAGCAGAGAAAAAGTCCAAATAAAACTCAAGCTTGTTAAACATAAAAAAAATCACCATATAACACTTTATAAGTCCACAGTCAATGTTCCAAAGTCCATAACCTACCGGAGAAGGCATTTTTCTCCCCTATATATATAAATGATGAAGACCATGGCTAGGATGATGGAGAAGGTTTGGCAGTTTTAATATTTGAAAGATTTTTTTATATTTGTCTAGAGGTCTGTCTTGCTAGTAGTAGAGAAAACAGTCCAAACCTACAGCTCAACTCTTAACAGAGGTTTAAAAAAGGGCTCAGAGCCAGGGATTTAGTTCAGTGGTGGCACTGCCTTCCTGGCAAGTGCAAGGTCATGAGTTCAATCCCTGGTACAAAAAAAAAGAAAGAAAAAGAAAGGGCTCTGACTGGCATCATTTTGGTTCACTCTGAGACAGAGGATATCTGATGATCACTGACAAGAGTTCCCCTTTCACCTAACTGAGGAGTCCAGATAGGACAAGATGTGGAGATTTTCTGCTGATTACTCAGATGGGCCGTCAGGAGCTAGTTTCTATTGAGGGACCTTGGGGTATCTGCCCGAGAGTAGCCCTGGCTATGACTCCTCAGTTGTCACCCCAGTTTCTGCTAGTTCCCTGCAATCAGAGATCTGTCTCTGAAAGGAGCTCAATTGCCTATCTGGTCAGCGTTCCACCTGCCATTGATATCAATGGGAGGGGGGATTCACCAGAGGGCAATTGGAGAAACCTGTCCTCTGCTTTGAGAGTGGCAGCTGCCCTAAAGGCAATTACTAGCTGGCAGAGTAATCACTGTTTGTTTACAGTTTCTATAAGGGACAGATAAATGCCTGAATTGTCTTCATCTGAGACAATTTCATAAGACATCCATTTTCAGCATTTTGAAGCAACTAAGTGCAAATGCAACACATACAAAACAAGAATAAAACGTAATTTTAACAAAATACAATGCATTAGAAAAACAAGAAATTTGCAAACATTTAAAGCACACAACTTAAAATTAAGACACTTTTAAACAATAGGCCAGGAGAATTTATATGAAACAAAAACCAGAATCTATGAAACAAATGAAAGCCTATGAAACAAGTTACAATCTAAGAAGCAAAAAAACCAAAGTTAGAACCTATGAAAGAAAACTTTCACCTCCAACCAGTAATCTTGGTGGAAGACCTCCAAAATGATACAGAGGGAAGAGATGTAACTCCCAAACCTGCTAGATATCCAAAACGAGAGTTCGTGTTCTCTAAAATTAAAGAATGAATTCTAGGAACAACGGAGGTTTAGAATAGGAAAAATTTATTGAGGAAAAGAAATTTTCTGAGACAGAAGGGGGACCAGAAAGTGGGCCGCCCCTGTTTTGTATATCTGAAAGGATGGTGTGGGTGTTCTCCCAAAGCATTGGTTACATCTGTGTATCTGGGTTTCTTTCCTTGTGCACAGGTGTTCACAACCCTGGAAATTACCAAGTCATCGGGACTGGACATCACCCAGAAGGGCTGCTGAGGCTAGCATGCTGCTGCCATGTTTCCTTGGACGCTTTTCATTTCTTCCAGAGAAACAGGCAGAGATGAGAAGGTGACAAGGACACAGCAGCAGCAGGCCGCTGTAGGAACTCTGGCTGACATGGCAGCAGGTAGACTGCGTTCTTGACGCCCGGGCTCGGAACCCTAGTGGGGAGCCCGGGCTGACTCCAGTGCATCAGACCTGAGCATCCCGTCGAGACCTCAGATGGCACCAATGCCCAAATGACCCTTCCTGGTTGGTGTTTTTATTCCCTCACTTTGTTTCTGTGAAGATATTTTTTTCTATGAACCTGGCTAAAAAGGCAATTTCCAGCACGGGCCTGGTACACACGCTTAGGGCAGAGGTGTCGGGCTGGGTGCTTGTGTGTCTGGAGCATTCGTGCAGAGTCCACTAGCAGGAGAATGTGCACGCAGCACGGGTTTCAGCCAACTGCTCTGTCCTTTAAGGCACATATTAATCTGGTGCCAAAATCTTGGATAAGGCATCGGCATTCCATGGTGGATAACCTTGGGGACACTCACACAACTCCAGGCTGACGGAACATCAAACAGAAGAAAAATACTTGAATCCCTTTTTCATGTTGATCTTAAAAATAATATTAAAATGTTTTCAGTATTGTTTTATGTGAAATACAATTTCAAACTGTTGGAAATGATTCAGTTGCAGTCTATATAGTGATAATTGAGAACATAAATAAACAGTGGCACTGGAGGTTTTGCGTGCACTTAAACACACAGTAGCATCTAAAGACCCTGAGAAGGGGCTGGCCTGGGCAGGGTCCTTTTGGAAAACCTTTTGTCCTCTTGAGGGGACACAGCAGCCTGGTTCCAGGCTCTTTCCAGCCCCTTGTGTCCTGAGTGGTGTCCTAGCCACCTAGCCAGGTGCCATCACCTGGGGACACCGCCATGCCGGGTCATGCAGTCCTTTGGAGGGGGTTTGGGGAGGGGCCATGGGGACAGCCCCCAAAGGAAACTGACTCAGGACCCAGTATTAAGCTGCTTTTCTACTGGGAGACAGAGATGCAGCTGTGGCTAAAATGTCAGAAAGCAGTCTCTGCTTTGAAGCAGGACAGTGTGGGGTGGGACACAAGGTACTGTGACCTCCCATGTGACAGGGCATGGGGTAGCTGAACAGAGTGCTATAGAGGCAGTGATGCTTGAGCTGAATGCCCAGGAAAAGATGGAATTCCAAAGCCTAGAAGCAAACAGATTCAGTGAAAATAGTAGATAAGATTTTTTTCTTTTAATTGGAGTTGGGCATGTAGCTCAGTGGTAGAGTGCTTGCCTAACATGCACCAGGCCCTGGGTTCTATCTTCAGTGCCCCCCCACATGTTACCATATGTTGGGCATCTCACAGAGCCAAGATTTTCCAGAACCCCCAAATGAAACCTCCAGTAATCCTGGGAGCCCTCACTTCCTGTCTTGCACTAAGTAAGGGGAAATATCCCAGGGCTGCCCCATATGAGCTTTCTATCGGCTCCATGTGAAGCTGGGACCCTGATGTGTGGTGACACTGGGGTTCCTGTCTCACAGAAGCCTGCCGGGAATGGGGCTGGTACCACTGTCCAGGCCACAGATTATCATCTTTTGGCGAGGAACCAAAAAGCTCACAGATAAACCTGTCTGCAGCCAGCATCCTCCCACACTTCTACTTTCTTCCCTGTCTCTTTCTCCCCTTCCACTTTTCTCCTCTCCCAGGGCAAAGGTGGCCCCTGTGTAATGGTGAGACATGAATTTACCCAGAAGATAAAACTTGTATACCTCTAATAATATATGAAGGATATATGAAATATATCCTTGTTCGTAGTAATATATGAACTAGGAAAAACTGGCGTTCGCCCTTATACTGGAGACTTTAATATATCAGTAAGTAATTTGTGAGATCAGATGAAAACATCACTCAAGATATGGATCTGAGTAACAGCTTGATTTAAGGAGCTCAGAATGCATCGGTGATGACAACTACTGATCTCAGGCACACCAGGCATGTTTATGGAATTTGTCATACAGTCATTGGTGGAGGCTGAGCTTACCACACTTCACAAGATGGCATTCAGATAGATAGGGGTGGAACAACAAGATTTTAGCTGTGAGACCAACGCTAGGCACCCAACGGCCTTAGGATGCGTGGGGTGGGCTGGGAGTGGGGTGTGGAGGTGGTGGGAGCAAGCGAGCCATGGGTGATGAGCTACCAGCAAGGCAGAGCCAGGAGCCAGGGCACAGAAACAGGGACTGAGGGAATCGGCTCAGGAGAATGACACTCCTGGCAATGCCTGGTCCCGTGACACAGGAGGTGTTGTCTGAATGAATCGTTCAGATTTTCCTGTTCTCCATTCACTAAGCATGGACGGTAATGCCTACCCCACAGACGTACTCTCTAGGAACCAAGCAGTTTTTGTTCAATTCCTGCCACACAGCACATTGGTGTCAGGCAGCTTGGCCTCTAGTGATGAGCGGGGACCTGGTAAGGAGGGCTCTGGTGGTCATGCAGCACCAGGTACCCAGCCGGGAGAGTCTGGGCCAAGCAGTGCTTCTGTACACCTTGGCTGTGGGAGGTGGCTACTGGTGGCCCTGAGGTTGGGTCTTCAACCATTAGTGAGCACAGCCTATGTTGTCCCCTGCATAGTGTCACAGGGTCATAGCAGCACACAGCAGAGGTGACAGTGTGGCACTTGCAGGGTTAGGTCACAAAAGGACTCCTGCCGAAGTTGTGGTCATGTTCTCTCTCCCCCTCCCTCTCCTGCTCTTCCCCTCTTCCCCTCTCCCCACTCACTCTGGAAGGAGGGAGCTATCATGTCAGGAAGACACTCAAGAAGCCTGCAGGGAGGCCCAGATGGTGCAGAACTGAAGGCAAGAAGCTGGGGTCTGGCGATGCCTGTGCAAACGAGCTTGGAAACGAGGCAGGCTTCCCCAAGACCATGCTTACCAGACCTTGAGCTAGAACCATGCAGCTTGACCACCTCCAGACTCCTGGCCGTCAGAAACTGCAAAAGAGTAAATATTTGTGATTTAAGGTGCTACCTCTGGGAGTCATTTGTAACCCAACAATAGGTCATTAATGCACTCACCAAGGAAATTAAAATTAATACAGGCCTTCTCACATAACTAAAATGTCTTATGGGCCATTTATTCCTAGGATGAACAGAGGAAACCTCACGTGGAGTTGGAAGCCCCGCAGAACGAGGCTGGAGCTGGGCCTCATCCCTGTGCTTGCCCATCGGAGCCCACAGCAGGAAGTCAGGCAGCCCCAGGTGGGCCCTCTGCCTCCGTGGGACTGTGGTAGCGTCTATGCATCCTCACTTACCTTCTTTGTAGGACCACCACTGCCACCACCATCATCGGAGCTCAGTTAAACGATGACAGGCAGACATGGTCATCACACAGACCTGTTAACCAAGCCTAGAGCAGGGCCTTGGCAAACTGGGAATAACAGGTCCCCAGAAAGGGTGCCAAGAGAGTTTTGGGCAGTCATAGGGTACCTGACAGAGGTTAGAAAGTGGATTTGGGAAACAGTTGGTCATTGATAAGCTAAAGTATTTGCTGGAGTATCTTTAGAATCTGGGGCATTTCAGCTTCTAAGTACCAGCAATGAAACATTGTGAGGTGGATGTACAATTACAATACCATATACAGCAGCACATAGATATGAAGCAAAGATTGATTTTTAAATGTATGTGCAAGACCACCATGCCAACAACTATATGGTGTTGCTGAAATTTGAAAAGGAAAACAATGTAAAAATATGCTAGGTTCTTAGACTAAAAAAGCCCACGTTGTTAAGATGTTTCTTTTCTCCTCAAATCTAATAAAAAACCCAGTAGGTTCGCTGGCCACAAATTCTCTTAAATCCGAGAATGTTTGAGTTTTATGTTTTAATTCCCATTCCTGATGGATATTTTAGAGTAGGGTTTTGGGTTAGCGATTCTTTTCTTTTCAGTTTTACGTCCCCGCTTCCTTTTGATTTCTGTGACTTCCAAAAAGATATCTGCTGTAAATTGGATTGTTGTGTGGATTTTCTCTAGCTGTCTTCAAGATTTGTCTTTATTTTGTAGCAGTTTTCTTATAGCATACTGAGGTGTAAATTTCTATGAATGTATCCTGCTTCTTGATACATAGGCTTATATCGTGTTAAAATTAGGATGGTTCCCATCACTAGTTCTTCAAGTATATTTTCTTCCCTGTGTTGTTTTTTCTCTTCTGGGATGCTGATGACACAAATGTTATAGGTCTTCCTCCCCAAGGCTCTCTTACTTGTTTAAAATCTCTTTTTCTCTCATTGTTTAGATTGGCTACTATCTGTTGATGCTATTTTCGAGATCAAAGGACTCTTGTCATCTCCCTCCTTCTGTGGAGTCCTTCTGATGATTCTTAAATATTTGTGATTGGGTTTTTCAAGTTCCAAATTTTCCATCCTGTTGTTTTATGTCTTCTACTTCTTTCCTGAGATTTTCTGTTATATCATGAGTGTTATCTCTCACTTGCTGGGGAGAGTTTATAAAAGCCCTTTTAACATGGAGTCAGTTAATGCCACCCTATGTCATCTCTATGTTGGCATCTCTGAGTTGTGAGCAAAATGTATATATATAATGTTTTACAATGAAAGTCCCCCTCAGAATACTTCTGCTCACGTCCAACACTCATCCCATCCGCCCTTCTTGCCACGTTCGGAACAGTTCTGGAGCCCTCTTTCCTGAGTGTCTTTATGAGGTGTGATCAGATACACAATGGCTGCCTCCACCAAGTGCCAGCCAGTGGAAAACCAGGCTCATACAAACATCACTGTGTGCCCTCATCCACCTTACTCACCAAATCTGGCACTGTGTGACTTCTGGCTCTTCCCCAAAGACAAAATGACCATGAAAAAAAGTAAACTATTTGCGTTGATTGAGGAAATGGAGGTAGCCGTGGCAACGCAACTAAATTCTCAAAAGTGTACTCCAGAGCTGCTTCAAAAAGTGGCAAGAACCATAAGAAAAATACATTAGAGGCAAGGGGAAAAATTTTGAAGGTGATACTGGGAATGTGCCTTTACTATAACAAATTTTTAAATATTTAAAAACCATACTGTTCTATCACATTTCATGTTTCTCTTGGTTTCTTATATGCAGAGTTATTTTGTATTGTATTCCAGATGTTTAGAATATTATGCTGAGTCTTTTGGTCTTGTTCAAATCTTCAGGGAAGGGTTGACATTTTGTTTTATCACTGGCCACTGTATGTGACAGGAGACCACTTGCTGCCTCTCACCTGGAGCTGGGAACAGTCCCCACCCCAACAGTCTTTTTAAAAACAATACTGCACAAAACTTAATCTAATATTAATATAAAGAAGCAGTAGATCTCTAAATTGAAGTAACTAACTTGGAAAATAACAAAAGTTGGAAGATGTGCATTACTTTATAATTTATTATGAAGTTACAGACATCAAGACAATAATACAAGTAATACGGAGACTGAATAGAGTGTCTGAAAGTGGACTCACATAGCTGTTCAGTGGATTTCCTGTACATGGGCCAAGATAACACCATGGGTATGGGACAGTCTTTGGCAGGATGAAGGCAGTTGCCAGTACAGCTGGGACCCATATGGGGGAAAATCAATTTTTGCCCTTTCTGCAAATCACAAGCCTAAATTAACTTGCAAAGGATTGTGGTAAAAACTAAAGAAGATGATGGAATGATGAACAACAGAGAAATAGCCTCTCCAATATTTGGAATCTGGATGCTGGAATACAGCAACATGAGGAAGAAAAGGGAGAAGTGGATGCCCAGGATCCAGCAAGGATGTGAGTGAGCATTGGAACCTATGAGGAGAGAGAAGAGAGGGACCACAATGTGGATGAGGGAGGTGACAAGTGGTGCTTTCTCTCAGAGGAGCCCTGGCTCATGGTGTGGGAGGGGTGGCTCGAATTTACAAGGGAACAGTGGCTACTAGCGAACCCAGAGGCCTCCTCAGAGAAATACAACAGTGGAACAGAGCGGTGCACACTGTGGACTGCAGTGGCTGGTGAGTTATTTGGGTTCAGACTTTCCCAGGAGGGGGCAATTGGCCAGTTGCCATTTTGGAGAGGCCAACTGAAGTCAGAACTCAGAGGAGCTGCAGGTTGGCTCCATCGTTGCTCCAAATGTCAGGTAAGCTGGAAGCAAGTTCAAGCTGGCAGGAGCGCAGATCAAGCCAGCAGGAGGAACTTGAAGTGTTGCCGGCTGAAAAACTCTGCTCCCAGCCCCACAGCCAGAAACCAAAAGCAGCCTGAATTTCAGTGGAGCTAAAGGCTCAGGTTTGCTGGGATTATCTACCACCCCCGTAATTCTTCTGTTGGCTTGCTGAGATCAGTCAACAGGGATCTAGGCTCTTTCTGGCCCCTCTGTCAACAAGTGATAGCAGAGACATGCCCTGAGTGAACATTTTTCTTTCTGCTTTTCTGCTTTTCTTTGCTTTTTAAAAATTTACTATTTTTTTCTCTTTTTTGATTCTTTTTATATGAGTGAGAACATTGTTTCTGGGGTTTTTTTTGTTGTTGTTATTGTTATTTTGTTCTCTTCTCATTTCTGTTTCTTCCCTCTTTCTTTCCCTCCTGTCTTCTTCACCAGTTTCTGAAAGCTTGAACAATCAATCTTCCTTTGTCCTCCAGCCTTGCTTCTAATCTATTCTTCTATTTCTCCATTTTCCCCCTAACTCCTTGTAATTTTTGTCCCCTAAAGGTTAAGGGTTAAATAATGATATTAAAGGGATATTTACTGTACACAATTTTCTGATTTGTTTTTTTGTTGTTATCTAACTACAAATCTTGTTCATACAGTTGAAGGCAGCAAATTAAGTTACCACAATTTGTTATTTTCTAGGGTTTTTGTTTTGTTTTGTTTTGCTTTTGAGACAGGGTCTCACTATGTAGTTGAGACTGACCTGGAACTCACTACATAGACCAGGGTGGTTTTGAATTCACAACAATCCTCCTGCCTCAGCCTCCCAAGTGCTGGGATTACAGGTGTGTGCCACCACGCCCAGTTCTAGGGTGGTTTTTTGTTGTTGTTGTTTTTTTTTTTTTACCGGGGATTAAACTTGGGTCCTTGTGCTTGCAAGGCAGTTGGAGGAACTACTGAGCTAAATCCCCAGCTCTAGGGTGTTTTTGATGTGAGTGTTATTACTGATTGTACTGCTTCAGCTAAGGTGACACAATTGTTCTAATCAATTGCACTACCTTGTATACCAACATTTAGATTGCCTGGGGTCATAAACAATACTAAAGGCCAGTGCCAAAGAACCAGGGGCTAGGCCAAATAGCCAGCAAGTTCTCATTCCTAATAAATTGAGGAGGCAGGATCTTGCAACAGACTCAAAACCCAAAAGCCAGCTACACTAGGAAGACATCTCTGAGAAGTAGTCATTCCCTAAGGATTCTCAATACTAAAAGACACCTACTATAAACAATTTACAAGCATCGATGCAGGAATTAAACTTTAAAAAAAAAATGAGAAGACATGGAAGAAAGAAGCAACGCTAGACTTCCAACTTGCCAAAGGCAAACCCAGGGGACAATGAGGTGGAAAAATTAAACCTGAACTCTGAAATGGTAAGGCAAATGAATGAGGCTTTGGAAAAAAATTAAATAAAATAATTTCTCAGATAACGTTAGAGCTAATGACCATAACAGAAGCATGATTAGTTAGACAAGATATGAATGAAAGAAAAAACTTCCAAAGAAATTATATAGGTCAAAAGCCACGGAAACAATCACTACTGAAAACTGTTACATTCAATTAAATATGGATTTAAAATTATAAATCTAAGAATCCAAACATCAGCATGGAATCTTGGGAATAGGTGAGCGCATAACAACGAAGTATTGTTAAGGTCTTCCCTCCTCAGGGGAGGAATGTGGTTATCGATTTACTGGTTTAGGAGAAGAAGACACGAATGCGATGAAATCATTTATGGAAAAATCGATGCCGACAGTGACACTGGCGACTCCACTGAAGGCGTGGAAGGGAGCCCTGGTCTCAGAGCATCAGTGAAGGCCAGAGCCGCGCTGAAGAGCGAAGGTGCTGCCCCCGGGAAGGGTCTGGTAAGAAGCGCGCAAACCGTGAACTGAAGCGATGTCAGGTTCTGCAAATGACAGTTTTCAGAGGCTTGGGAAGAGGTGGAAACGAAGAAGTGACAGCGAAGTCCCCAGGGGCTGGGGATGAAAGTCAGATGATTATATTTCTAACAAAAAAAATAGCTAAATTGGACAACTGTGAGTTAACTGTGCTACTAAGCAACTATGGGCTAACTAGGTAACTGTGCTTTTTTTGTTTTGTTTTGAGACAGTGTCTCATTACGTAGTTCAGGCTGGCCTGGAACTCAGTATGTAGATCTATGTAGATCTCAGAGTGATCCTCCTGCCTCAGGCTCCGGAGTGCTGGGATTACAGGGGTGTACCACCACACCTAGTTTAGCAATGTGTTTTTTACTGTTAAAAGTTTCTTTAAAATATAAAGGTTTAGCTGCCACTCCTGTAATCCCAGCACTCAGGAGGCTGAAGCAGGAGGATCACAAGTTCCACTCCAACCTGCGCCACCTAGCCATTTAGTGAGACTGTCTCACAATAGTAAAAAATAGGGCTGGGGATGCGACTCAGTGTGAAAGCCTTGGGTTCTAATACTAAATTAAAAAAAAATGATTTCTAAGAGTACAAGGGGACAGACTCCCTCCTTTGATCCTGTGCTAATTCTCAAACACAGGCAGGCTGTGTTGACCCCTGGAGTCTAAGAAGTGACTGAGCTGAACTCCTGGGACATCAGCTGTGCACTGTGAATACTTCGTTGTTGGCTGGGACTTCCGTGACCTTATGGAATTTATACCAACTTCCCCCCAAATTCAAAACAAAACAGAACAACAAAACACAGCCCCACATGTTCAGTGACCCAACTGCCCCGGCCTCTGACTGCTGCGGAGCGCGGCTGGGGCTGCGCAGATCGGGGAGCCAATGCGCTGGGTGTGCGCAGAACAGAGCCTCCCACCAGAGCTGGGAAGCTGGAAAGCTGGGGTGCGGGGGTGGGGGTCACGCACACAGGAGCACTGCTCCCCACAGAGCGCCGGCCTTGGCTTCTTCTCCCGAGGGATGGGCCGTCACACAGGCTGCGGACCATCTACAGGGTCCCCTGAGTCCTCCTCCGCCATGGCCGAGCCTGCCCAAGTTCAGGGTCAGCTCCAGGCCACCGCCTCCCGCATCCTCAGGTCTTTTTCTGATTGATTGATTGATTGATTTATAGAGAGACAGGGTCCCTATGTAGTTAGTTCCAGCTGGCCTCAAACTGGCAGCGATCCTCCTGCCTCATCCTCCCGAGTGCTGAGATTATGGGCGTGCCCCACCTCCTGCCAGCGGGTCTTTTTCACACTCTGGCAACACCTTCGCGCTCTCCCTGGCCCAGCCCTAATCTGATTAACCCACTCCTGGTTTTGGAGTAGCCCGCGTGCAGCACGGAGAACTCTCATTGGATCACCTGTGTCCAAGCCCCGCCTAGAATCCCCGGATGTCTCATAAAAGCCACCAGCCATAGAGAGCTGGTGAAGGTGTGTCTAGGACACTAACCAGCCCAGGTTCGAGCAGCCTGCACTGCGACCCGACAAGGCCTGTGGAAGCAGAGACGTCCTCGGGGAGCATTTAAGCTGCTGTTGCCCAGACCTCAAGCATTCCCGGTCGTTGCTGGAGAGAACCGTTCTGGGAAAACCGAGTGGGTGAGTTCTGGGAGGAAATAACTCTAGCCTGGTGGGAGGTGCGGGGCTGGGGTTTCCTGGCTGAAGTAGGGTGCAGGGGGTGCCCATCTTGGCTGGGTGGGGATCTGCTGGTCGCCTGACTTGATTCTCCCTTTGTCCCGTCCCCTCCCCTCTGTCCATCCCGCCTGCCCTCCTTTCTCGGTGGAGTCTAGAGCTGGAGGTTTCCTCCCTGTACCTCTGCCCTTGTAGTTGGCTCAGTCCTGCCTCTTAGGAGCCGCCCGCAGCCAGAACACTTACTCCCCTCCCTCCGCCACCCCAGGTCCAGATTAATCTCAGTTCTTACCAACGGAGGCCAGGGGCTGGGGTGGGGCAAAGAGATTGGCATCCACTCTAGGGGCCTCCCAAGCCCTCTGCACAGGCTGAGTGTGGAGTTCAGGAAGGGAATTTGGGATCTAGAAGGAACTGGGCCTTGCATCTTTTATTTTGTTTCGAGTCAAGTCTCACTATGCAGTTCAGGCTGAATTTGAACTCATGGCGATTGTCCGGCCTCAGCTTCCCAAGTGAGTGCGGGATTACAGGCAGGAGCCACATACTCCACAAGCTTTGCTTGTTGACAGCCACTAGCATACCAAATCCAAACCAGTCAATAATGTGTGAGTCAGCCTGGGTTTGCTCCATCTCCTTTTAGACGCCACCATAGGGCTTTATTCTTGATCAGAGTAAGTGTAAAAATGCAAGTTTCGTTCTTTTAAAAATTCAGTTTCTTAAACGGGAGTGAAGTAGGACACGTTCACAAACAGATGGTCCCCAGACTCCATGGTGGATTCAATGGTGGTGCCGACCTGCTCTTCCCCTTGTGACAGAGGCTATATACAAACCATCCCTTGAACTATGGGTGTTTTTCTGGGCTAGCCATATGCGTTATGACCCCCCCCACCCTGTGTGTGTGCTGGGAATCAAACCTAGGGCCTCTGTACTGAGCTACATCCCCGGCCCCTTTTTAATTTTTATTTTCAGAATCTTGCTAAGTCACTCAATTGCCCGTGGAACTCAGAGTTGCAATCCTCCTGCCTCAGCCTCCTAGACTGCTGGTATCACCAATGGCGTCCTCACTACACCCAGCTGGTAAGGTCCTCTTGATACTGGGCAGCAAGCACTCAGGAGTGGAAACAGCCTACTGTGCCGTTACTGAGCTAGGACACTGTAATGGGTGTATCAAATGCATTTTCTAATTGATGCAGTTTCCAGTTTATGGTGGGTTTATCAGAAGGTAGCACTGGTCATAAATCGAGAAGCCTCTAGTGACCAACACTAACTCACCCTGAGACTTGTTTATATTTGCCGTTTGCCCATTTTGCTGTTTAGTTCTTTACTCACTGTTGACTGCTAAGCACTTTCTATATTAGAAAGACTATTAGCTGTCTGCCATATGTTGAAAATATCCTCCACCCACATTTTCTGGTTTGTCTTGATTTCAAACATGGGAATTTTGTATTTTTATCCTTTTCACCAGATGTTTAATTTTTAAATAGCCAAGTTCATCTGTCTAGCGTTTCTGATCTTGGTATCCTGCACAAGTAGCTTTCTCTCTCACATCACTTACAGTTTCTTGAAACTGCCTGGGAATTTTATGCATTCATCCCATGGAGGATGCCTTGAACTTGCAAGGGGTCCCCGTATCATGGGCTACAAGGCCTGCCCTGGCTCCTGGACCATCTCTTCCCTTTTACACTCCATCCTCCTTTGTACCAGCTGGGGCTGCTGATTAGGCCATTCAGAGCATTCCAGAACATTCCAGAACACCCCAGGAGACAGCTGGGTGTGAGACCTGGGGCTGTGTGAGGAAGAGCCTCTTTCGAGATGGAATGTGCTCCTCAGCTCTTCCTGGCTGCCTACCCGGCCGTGGGCTCATGGTGGACCTGTGTCCTGACCAACCCATCCTGAGCTGGAGCTATCCTAACGCAGATGTGCGTTCCACACAGCTCACCTACCAAGCACCATAGCTTAGCGCAGTCGACCTTCACCATGCTCAGAACACTGACATCAGCCTTTGCGTGGGCAGCCATCCAACTTTAGTGAGTACTCATGAGGCCATGGACTTTGAGTATTTGACAGAAAGTCATAGAACGAACAGTGTGGGTAAGTCAGGGGCCATTTGCATTTCTGGCTTTGCTGGTCCCTTTGTTGATGTGATCTGTTTAGGTCTTTTATTTTTGTGTTTTACCACGCTGGTGGGAGGACCTCAGGCCACACGCATGCTAGGCAAGCTCTGCCCAAACCCGACTTAGGGTTTTAATTTTTCTCTCCCCAACAGGGCTCCAAAGCTTGGCCATCAGTATTTCTGTGTCGTTCTTCTCTGTGACTTACAAAGAGGGAAATGGAGAAGTCCAGGCACATTTGTTTTGCTGTCCCAAAAAGGTCTCATGTGGCTGCCACACACCTTCCACTGCCTAGAGAGACAAGCTTGCCACAGTCGCTCCCTTCTCCCTGACAGGCTGTGGCCCTTTCCTCTGCCTTTCCTGTCCTTCTAACCACCTGTCTGCCCTCCCACAGACACCACCGAGCCACTCCAGGACCCCGTGTGGCTTAGAAGACCCAGCGGCATGAAGACCGGCACGGGCACAGCCGAGGGAGTGGCCGAGGCCTCCAGGGGGTGCCTGGGCTGTCCTGACCCCTGGCCTGGCCGGGACTCTGTGTGGGGCCACTGCATCTGCCAGCCAGTAACTGACTCCACCCCGTGTGGGGGAGCCATGGGGCCTCCCCGTGCCCTCCACTCACACCTGGGGCCCACACCGCATCCCTATCCCAACCCTTGGGCTCACACGTGGGTGCCCTGGGGTGGTGGTATCTGGACATGGCATCCAGAGCTGTCCGCCTCGGCGCCTGTAGATTGGTGTAGGCCCAGCTGTAGCTTCAACGCCTGCACAGGCGGCCGGCAGCCAACTGCCCTGCAGCCCAGCATACTTCCTCATTACTGGGGACCCCCATTCTCCCTAACCTCCACAGCTCTGGGCAGGGACACCAACTCCTGCTCCCCGGTGAGGGTCCAGGACCCAACCAGCTCAGCGCCCTGGGCTGCAGTGGGGGGCCCAACCCGAAGAGCTCCAAACTGCAGGTGGCACAGAAGCTCTCCCTTGGGCCGGGCCTCCAGTTTGAGGTCTCCGGGGCTCCTGCTGTCCTCCAGCTCTCAACTGTGCCCTTTGCTCTTGGCCCCTATGATAGATCCTGAGCCTGAGCCCCAGCCCCCCATCTTGGACCCTGAGTCCCAGCCCCCCATCCTAGACCCTGAGCCCCAGCCCCCCATCCTGGACCCTGAACCCTAGTCCCCCATCCTAGACCCTGGGCCCCAGCCCCTCAGCCCCAGGAGGCCTTTCTGTAGGGCCTGTCGCTGCCTCTTCCAGCCCTAGACAGTGCCCTGCACCCACCCCAGCCCAGGCACCAGCTCATGGCGCCCAGCTCGCCAGGCTCTGCCTGGGGTCTCGAGTCTGGACTTGTGTACAGAGGCTCAGGTGTGAGCTGTTCACTGCTGTGCAGCCCATACCCAGCCCTCTCTCCCATATTTCCCTCCACCTTATTTCCTTGTGCCCTTCAGCCCCCATGGGCACCCTTCTCTGCAGAACTTGCCCTGGCCAGCATGCTAGTGCCCTCAGATACACCACAGCTAACACAGCCAAGTGAATTGTTTGTGCTTAGATTTGTAAGTTACATAAGTGATGGGCTGTGGAAATGGTTCCTTTGCTGTCTATTGGTCAATAAATGTTAAGGCTAATAAATGTTTATAGTGGTGTGGTTGGTCTTGCTGTTTCTCTACCCTCCTGGGCACCCACTATCTGCCAGCCCCTGTTCTGCCTCTGTCCCTGCTCAGAGAAGACCTCAGGTGCAGCCCAGCCACCCTGCAGGGCTCCTGGGATGTCCAGGACACCCACTCCTAAATGTTTATAGTGGATTGGTTGGTCTTGCTGTTTCTCTACCCTCCTGGGCACCCACTATCTGCCAGCCCCTGTTCTGCCTCTGTCCCTGCTCAGAGAAGACCTCAGGTGCAGCCCAGCCACCCTGCAGGGCTCCTGGGATGTCCAGGTGACACCCACTCCAGCACTCAGATCGGGCACCGTGGGCACTGCCTCTGGGATTTGGGAGCCTCTTTAGTTCAGTGTGCACTGAGGGTCCACCAGCTCCTGTCTCTCACACCTGTGTCCTTTGTAGACCACGCTCCTTGATCTTCCCCTCACCACTGTCTTGTAGTTTACAGGATGTGCACACATTCTTGTAAACGCATGTATTTTTTTCTTTCAGTACTTGGGGGCTGAACCCAAGGTCTTTGCCCTGAGCAACATCCCTAGCCCATTTTTAAACTTTTAGTTTTGAGACAGGGTCTTTCTTGATCACTGGGTTGGACTTAAATTTGTGATCCAATTAAATAACTCAGATGTGCTACAAATTCTGTTTTCATCGTTTTCTCATTAATATATTTTAAAACTAGGCTTGCCTGTATGTGTGTACACTGTATGTCATACATGTTTTCAAATGTATTAATGAAACCTTTCCTACTGTTTCCTGCTGTTAAAATCTATGGAATCCCACTTTCCTTCCCTACTATTGTCTATATTAAAGGAAGAGCATCTTATCATGTGCTACAGCACGGATCTTGTCCAAAGGCCCAGGTGCTTAAGACTTGGTCCTACACATGAATCTATTTGCAGGTAAAGCCTTTAAGAGGTGGAGCCAGTGGGAGGAAGTGAGGTCACTGGGGGACTCAGCGAGGATAATGTGACCCCACCCCCTATCTTTTGCTTCCTGGCCTTGTGTTTCCTCCCATGATGTGCCACTATTGGCCCAAAGCAATGGAGCCAACCCATTATGGATTGAAAACCCCCCAAACTGAGCCAAATTAACCCTTATTATAAGTTGCTTTACCTCAGGTATTTGTTACAGTAACAGGAAGCTGAATAGCACACTACAGATTTGTTTGTTTTACTAGAAACTATTTTTGACTCGTTGATTCTCTCTTCTATAATCTCTCACCATATCTTCTTCATTTGTTGTGAGTTTGTTCTGTAACCTCCAAAGGGAAATTCACTTTTTTATCTTTTATTTGGTACGAGGGATTGAACTTGGGTCCTTGCACTTGCCAGGCAGGTGCCAGAACCACTGTTATGATATGTGGTATTTTTAGTTTTTATTTTTAAAATAATTACCACTAAGGAGAAAATCAAGTATATTTTCTAATTGTCTTACAGTCTAACAAACAAAATTTATCTTTGTAGTTTAAAATCTCACAAAAGGGTGGGGGAAAAGAAATAAGGGAAAAGAAAAAATATGAGAAAATGAAAAAATGGAAATAAAGTGTTTGTAAGTAGGGAAGGGAGGAGGGGGTAAAGGGAGGGCAAGGGGAAGGGGAAAAAATGAGAACCAAGACCTGTCATGTAAAGGTACAAGATCCCAATAATGAATGTAACAGTACTGTATCCCTAAAATGTACCAATAAACTCAGTGAGAAAAAAATGAAATAAAATAAAATATCTCACATAGATTTCTCTCTGTAATTGCTTTTTAATGTTTTGCTGTTTCATCGGTTATTAAGAAAATATCTAACTATGTTTTAAATTATTCTATTTCACCTTTTAGTTCTGTCGATTTTTGCCTTATATTTCCAAAGCTATGCTATTAAGTGTGTACATATTTAGGATTGCTATACCTCCTGGATGATTTCTCCTTTTTATCCTTATAAAATGTCCCATTTTTTATCTTTCAATACTCTGGCATTAAAGTGTTTTGCCTGACAATGATATGTTCTCTATTTTAGTTGAAGCTGCTTTTATTTTGTCTCTTTGTATTCAGATGTGTCACAAACAGCAGATAGATGGTTTTGTTTTTAAAATCCAGTCTGGTGACCTCTGTTTTTTTAATTAGATTGTTTACCTCATGTGTATTTGCTCTAAACCCATCAGCTCACTATTCCCTTTCTCTTTCTTCCCTGTTTCCTCTTCCTTCTTTCCTCATTTTCTGTTAACTTTTATAATATTTAAAGCAGGACTATTCCATTGTCCTGCCTCTTTTACTACTTAGTTACACAGTAGTGTACAATTCTCTCGGCCGTTACTGTAAGATTAAAATATGTGTCCTTGACTTATTAGACTGCTTTATAATGGTCTTTTTACTGCTTTCTCAGCCACGCATGAGCCTTCCTACAGCTGTAGCTCCATGCTTCCCCTCTGCCTCTTGTTCTACTGTTGTAGTATTTCACTTCTTTATGCTGGACACTTAGAAGACATCACTGTTTTAGTCTTACACAGTTTTTATTGACGCATTATTAATGAATACATTTCCCTTTGCAGAACATTTCTGTGTGAACCTCCACACCTCCACCTGGAATCGTTTTCTTCTACCTTGAAGAACTTCCCCAGTGTATCTTTGAATTGTGAAGAATTGCTTCAGTTTATGCTTACCTAGCAGTATTTTGTGTGTCTTTTTTCCATTGAGACATAATACATGTACACATCAGTGGGATTATTCAAAAGGAAAAAGCCAGACACACTTGTAGCATTGGTACATGCCTCTAATTGCAGCTACTTGGGAGGCTGAAGCAGGTGGATTGCATGTTCAAGGTTAGCCTTGTCAACTTAGCAAGGTGCTGTCTTAAAAATAAAAGGGGCTGAGGATGTGATTCAGTAAGAGGCCCTTGATTCAATCACCAGTAACACACACACACACACACACACACACAGAGAGAGAGAGAGAGAGAGAGAGAGAGAGAGAGAGAGAGAGAGAAACGCTGGTGAGGATGCTGAGAAAAGGGAACTCATACCCTGTGGGTGGGAACATAAATTGGGGCAGCCAGCATGGAAAACAGTATGGAGATTCCTTTAAAAACTAAAACAGGGCTACCATATGATCCAGCAATCCCGCTACTGGGCCTCTGTCCAAAGGAAAGGAAATGATTACATCTAAGGGACAGCTGCGGGACCATGTTTAGTGCAGTGCTCTTCCCAATGGCTGAGATGCAGACTCACCCAAAAAGTCCATCCATAGACGAGAGGGTAAGGAAATGCTGCACTGATAAACAACAGAATATTATTGAGCCAGAAAATAAAGAAATCTTGTCGTTTATTGCAGCAACATGGATGGAACTGAAGGTTTCATGTTAAGTGAAATAAGCCAGATACACAAAGGTAAATCCCATATGTTCCCACTCCTTTGTGCCTTCTTTCTGAAAAGTTTTTTGCTGTCTCTTTGCTGGCCTGGCAGCTTTTCCTTAAAGAATCACGCTGCTTGACAACAGGAAGGTTTACAACACCATTGGACACCTGTCAGAACAGGAAATTATCTTTTCATAAACATGTTCTCTAGGTGACCCTTTCTTCCATTTGGTTGCCATTGCTGGATGGTGTAGAAATAAATCTAATTCTTTGCAATTTATTGATACTATAAATCCAGTAAATTTTGTAAATTTAGTCATAAGCACGTTTGTGGCATCGTTCTATGCTGTCCATTTGATTAAATTGCTAATTATGTGGTTTGAAGCTTTTATTTCCTCAACTATAATTTTTAGTTGCCTGATTTCTTATTTACTTTCAAGATATGATGGGAATCAGGCTTTATTACATCAGTATCATTCCTTCTGTTCTTATTTTTCTGTGATTTTTGTTTGTTTGTTCTCTGAGACAGGGTCTTGCTTTTTAGTGCAGGCTGGCCTTGAACTCACTACGTACCCCAGGCTGGCCTTGAACTTGTGGTGATTCTCCTGCCTCATCCTTCCAAGCGCTGGGATTACAGTTGTGTACCACCATGCCTGACTGTGATTTTTAAAAGATCACAAATGTATTAAAATTTATGTCTTTCTCTGTATCCCCCAGGCATAATTTTGAACTAAAGTAGTAATTTTGTTATTTCTTACAGACTGATGCAATGAAATTGTGTTGAGTTATCCTCATATTGCTAAGATAAATTAAACCTGATAACTTTTTAAAATAAGCTTTTCATTTGGTTTGTTGATATGTTATTTAGGCTACTTTACATAAGAGAAAAATAATCTAGATATGTATTCTTGTATTGGCCTTAATTTTTAATTCAAGATGATAATAGCTTCTCAAAAGTAAATTTCAGAGCTATTCTTCTTTTAAACATTTTTTTCTGGAGTATATAGATGAGCGAGCTTGGAACATTCACTTATAAAGCTATCTGTGCCTGGGACTTTCTAGGAGTGGTACTGGAGCCATCGATTTGATTAACAAATTTATTTGCATAATAGCTCATAAATTCTAGTTGTGCATATTTTGCTTGGGGAAACTGCTATATTGATTCTGCCCCAAGCAGGCTGTTAGCA